TTACTGAGAACATTTAACGCTATTTAGGGTTCGTGACGTGACGAAATAGAGTTACTTTAGGTCACTTCAGACAAATACCGGAAACCCGCTGGAATTTTGTGACCGGTGAAAAACACGAAAGTATTTTTTGAAAACACGCGAGGATAGCTGTTGGCTTTTCGAGGTGCTCAGCATTGATTTGAATGGCATAACCTGTACAGGACATCTTGAAGAATCATTTCAGCTAGATGACGATTAGTTCTCTCGGCTAGTCCGTCGAGGGAAACGTCAGAGAAGAAAATAGTCCTCGCGTCACGCGACTTCGCTTCTCGCGCGCGCGTACCAGCCCAGTCATTGAAGCAAGACGCGAGTTGGATGCAAGTCATTTAAAATATTTTAACTGTTGGGGAAAGTTGATTTGGCTATTCAATCTTAACCTATCCTAAATCCCATAATAAATGCTGATTATTTGTTCTTTCTTCAGCGTAAGAGAAAAGTCTGCGTTGAAGGTTGGGTACAAGGCTTTTATGATCTGTTGTTGTAAACTCATACCCGCCGTTTGTGTAGCTATTTCCTTCTGTGGTTTTCCGTTCAGTTTAACCCCTCGGAAAAGTCAGGTTTTGACCATTCAGTGTTTAACCTACTTCATAGCTCTAAATAACGGATCGTTATTGGTTAGTCATGACCAACAAATAGTTAATAAAAAGATTTTAACCAATTGATTTCAGGTTAGATGCACATTTTTACCATTTGCTTAACCATTTGGTTTCGTTATTTTGACTGCCATGAAAAGTTATTTTGACCAGTCGATATTCTAACGGAATTATAACCGTCACAACAACTGCTGATCATTGGTTAATCTAACCAATAACATAAAGGTTACGATTTTAACTAGTTTATTTTAGGTTAAAATTACCTTTTGCAACTGGTTATAACCTTTTAATATAGTTACCATAACTGGTCTGTTTTTACAGCCTTCCCATCTCGCGCTCCCTTCGGTCACGCTTCTAGCGTTTCGTCCTATCTCGTCCTCCGCGTGCAATCCAAGTAAAGACCACGGGGCACCAGTCAATCCAGGGCAGAAACCTTTATCAGCCCTGACTCAATTACCTAGAGGCGAAGCGCGAGGAGAAGCAATTGTATTGCAGTCGCAGGCTAGGTGGGGGCATGGTGATGCTCTCTCGAAAATTTTTTTCAGATATACAGTTTCCAGCATTCTTAGGGGTCAATCAAAGCCGATTTTTATTACTGAAATCTTTCTACTTTTGTTCCCTTTTGAAACTTATGTGTCCAAAACAGGAGCCCAAATTTACGGGCTCCTGGTCCTAAACTACTCACTCTCGTTTATTTTTCAAGTTCCGAGTTGCTGGATTATTTTCGACTGCACATACGCGTCCAGCGTAGTGGTAATATAATCGAACGTTCAAGACTATTTTTGCCTTCGCAAAAGGAGAACCATTTACCCTATCACAAACTTCTAAGAGTTGATATGTGTTATTCAATTGCAACCAGATGGGTTTTTGTTCGAAATAATCAATAAATGAGCAATAAAAAAGTTATGTTAACTCTTAGAAAAGGGAGGGAAGTGGAATAAATAATTTATCATTGAGTGTCGTTCTATTAAATGAAAGGCATGCAAATGCGTTTCTATAAAATGACGAACAATTACTCGTTTTACGGACTCGGTGTACGTAAGTAATCCCTTCTGTTGTTGTAAAGTACTGTAAAAGTTGTTTTAAGATGGAGATAAGGGCTATTTTAAAATCATCATCATCAACAACAACAACAATAATATATGCCTCAATATATGCCTGATCCGGAAGTTCAACCTAAAATGAATCGACAACTGACGCCACAAAGTTAAGCAGTCTTCTTAACATTAAACGCACTAGAAGATTGGAGGGTATATTTACTTGGTGACAGGGTGTGCTTTTCTGGCGAGCAAGATCACGCTAGTACCAAACACAATTTCCAGCACTCTGTAAAACTGAATGCAGCCTTAATATGAAAGCTGGCAACTGACCCTTATTTTTTTGCAAATTAGCCACCGAACACTGAAAGGAGCACTGCTAGATTAATATCGATTTATACCGTAAATAAATGTCGTATTGCCCAGCTGTACCCAGGTGGTACTATTAAAATGTAATTGAAGATTCTAGAAGTTGATTTCGTGTCGAATCGTAAACACATGTTTCGTGTCACATTGAAGGAAATCCATTTAACTGATATCAAATTAACTATCCAAATTACTAATGAGTTTTTGTAAAAAGGGGGAAAAGAAGCAAAAACCAAATAAATATACGAAAAACAAAAAGACGAACGATTTTAATTTCAGAGCACAAAAGGAAGTGGAGTAATATTTTTTATTTACCTTTTCTTTAAAGATCTTGATTCAGATGCCAGTCAACATGAGTCCCTAAGCATTACTTTTTGACATTAGCAATATGCTAACTCTTCTAATTTGAGGGTAAATGAAACTTACATATGCCCTATGGACCAAAGTATCTTATTTTATTCACAGCAGTCGAGCTTTTTAGCCCACGTCGTCGCCAGATTGCGTAAATGGAAGCTGAGATATTATTGTATACCGCAAGAAATTTCTTTTGATTCGTTTGCTTTAATGTTTCAATCTAAATTGAGATTTACCGGGACAAAGTGGAAGCCGCCTGATTAATACACAGTGAGATTTTTGGGGGGCTTAATAAATAGATGATCCAGGCCAATATCCAATGAAAAATATTGGCAAAAAAGAATCATAAATCGTACTATAGGTCAATGGTACCAACAATTATATGCCACTGAACAATCTCTTGCTATTCCTCCGCATACAAACCGACAATATGGTTAAAACATTTAATTTCTTTTATCCACCTTCTCTACGCTGCTTTGTCCTCGGTGGCAAATTACATGATCACTGTGAATAATTAGGAAATTCATTTTTCCCATACAATAGCTGCATCAAGAGAATACCGACGAAACCCGCGGGCTACGATCCTTGAAACTGAACGTAAGTCACGCTCTAGTTGCTGAAAACAACTATCGAAGCAACACCTGTCCTATCCCGGACTTGGCAAGACTTTCCTTGAGAAGAAAGAAGCTGTTCAAAAAAACACAAGCCACGGAACTGCCGGAGATATATATAAGAATCCATTGGAGTTCTCTTCCGTTCGTCGTTTCTTGGTAGACGACTTTTTAAATGCCGAACCAGAACTTGACAGATCATTCTGCATTCTCTCTTGAATGCTTCAATCTGGACGTTAATTTAGAGACAACAAAAACACTGCTCGTCGCGCACATTTTAACATCGATCATCAACTTTCTTTCATCTCTTTCGGCTGTGATTGGTAATGCCGCCATAATTTTCGCGGTATGGAAGACCCTAGCTCTTCAAACGCCTTCGAACATTTTTCTCTGTGGTTTGGCGTTCAGTGACTTTACCGTTGGCCTGCTCGCTCAACCTGCTTTTGTCGTCCACAAAATCGGCGAAATCTTCAAGATTTTCAACATATACTGCACGACCAGGATTCTCATAGAATCCCTCGGGTTTCTAACGGCTGGAGCTTCGGTTTGTACTATGACAGGCATTGCTATCGAAAGATATCTAGCACTCTACCTACATTTGCGTTACAGGCAAGTGATTACCACAAAGCGGATACTTGGTTTTGTTGTGTTGATTTGGACCTTTTATATTTTGTTTGCCGCGTCTAGGTTCTGGATTGCAAATGACAGCATTTTTAACAATATCTTTATTTCAATAATACTTGCTAACTTGGTTTTATCATTCCTGGCCTACGCTAAGGTTTTTAAGTACGTTAAGCGACACGAGAATCAGATAAAAGAGCAAAACACAGGTCGCCCAGAGTTTGGTGTTGTAAATCACCGTTTACTCAGGATGAAACGTTACAAGAAGTCTACGCTGACAATGTTATACATCATTGGAGTCTTCATTATCTGCTATATACCTTTACTTTGCGTCAGAATTCTTTACAGGACGGAAGGTTATACCGCAAATGTAAAGACAGCTAATCTTTATACCACCACAATCGTGTTCCTGAACAGTTCATTGAACCCAATGGTTTATTGCTGGCGTATTTCCGATATCCGTAGTGCAGTCAAAGAAATCTGTTGGCGCCAACGTTTTAGAAGGAAAAGTGAAGTTGTCGTTTTAAAATCAAGCGCAGAATTTCCTCAAAGGCCTAGAATTAGCAGTTTAAACATTACGCGCGCCTCAGTTAGCGTAATGCCTCATTTTAATGGGTGATAGCGATAGCTCGGACAAAAAAAGACATTTCCCTATGACGGAAGTTCGAGACTCTATAGTAAAAGTATTCATTTTGCAAGGCAAAGAGCCCGAGTTGTCTTGAAGTTTTTTAATTTTAACAATAAACTTGACTGACAGATTTTCCTTGTGTAAGAAATTTGTGTATTTCTCTGCGGAAGTTAATTTAAAAATTGGACAGTTTGAGATTCAAGTGAGAATCTGGAATCAGGCTGATATGTAAAATTTCGAAAGACACTAAACATCAAATGCACTAAACTGCAATATTTTGAGAGGTCTCTCTAGCTAAAAGCGTCTTGTGACTTTCATCTAGGAAAGGTGTTAATTAATTCTCATTTTGATATTTATTCTGAAAGTCACCTTGAATTAGTTGCTGATGATTTAATATCGGTATTATTTGAAGCGGAATTTTCGTAGGTTGCATGAGCAAACGTTTAGTGGATACATATAAAAATACAAAATAAAACCAAAAAAATGCAAAACAGAGATAACAGTGTCAGAGAATAAAGTATAAAAGAGCTCTAGCTCTGAGCTGGGAAAACGTTCAGTTTATTAAAATGTATACCATATATAAAGTGTAAACATATGTAGATTAATATAAATAACTGAACCTCTCCGCAACCACAGACACCTTTTTGTTCTGGAAAAAGAAGATTTCTCCTATGTATCTTATTCACAATTTTCCAAACTCGTTAATTTTACAAGTGAACACAAACGACTTCCGTTTGACTCCACCCTGTAATGAATTGATCGAGAAGCTGACCGTGTGTGGCTATGGCATAATTATAAAAAAGGATGGCAGATGACGCCCTTGTGACGCTCAATGTTTAGATGCACTAAGGCATTTAAATATTATATTAATCAGACCGCTTTGTTTAACTTCAAACGTCCCTTGGCAAGGTAAGAGAAAAAAATATATCGATGAAATTTGGAGCCAAACCTTCCGTCGGATTAAGCAGCCACCCCATTGCATTTGGGTACCGCCGGCAAGTGGAGGTTCGTCGTAAATTAGCATAATCTTAAGCAGAAACATCAATTTAAAAAAAACAACAAACAAACGTGACTCGCGACGGGAGCGGCATAACTGGTCCATAACCACAGTCGTCACCTTTCATCTTGGACTATATTTTCCCTCATCATACATTTTCGAAATAAAGTCAAACTACTGAAATAAATAAATGGGTCAAACGCGAACTCTTGTCGAGAAGGCCAAGGCCGCTTTCCCTGAATAGCAGTTAATTTGCAATTGTTTTCTACAATTATCAATGTGGACATTAATTACTGAACAGCGCTCTTAAACATACCATCCTAGTCCTTCCAGAAAAATGTGGGCTTTTTTTTCCGAGGAAGCGCAAATGTTGGTAGGCTTCTAAAAAATGAATAAAAAGGAAAGAATGGCCACCTAATTAGTTATGTTCACAGCTCCTTTTAAATATATATATCCATTGAATATAGATTATGAGAAGAGAGCACAATGCGCGGATGACAGTGATCGAGGGGCCTAAAAAATTAGCGAGTTCACGCAACAGGAAGCCAGAAAGCCGAGGAGAGCGGCAAAACGCACGCTTGTTTGTGACAAACGTGACATGGCTATTACAACAGATACTTAATTGCGTGTTTTGTCGTGATCTTCACTAAATTATAATATTACTTTGTTCTGGTCTTTTCGAAAAAGATCTGTTTAAAGAAGGAGGAAGTTTGGCGGAAATTTTTTTCAGAACATATCGTTATTGTTTTTGTCAGCTTACGATGCTGTTACAACTGTGGTCTAGGAAATTAAATTTGCGCTCTCTTGAAAACTGCCTTGAGTTTTGTCGAAAAATTGTCGCTAGCGAAGTGTTAGCGAGCTGCTTGTGTCGTCACTCTTACGAGATCTTCAGCTAATGTTATTTATCATTAAGTCAGTTTCCCCTTAACGTAAAAGACAGAGGGGCTAGGGCAAAAGCTAGTGTCTTTTGCCTTTTCATGCTAATTTTATTTTCGTTTTTAGCCAAGACCCGTTGGTGCTTTTCGACCCGGCCTCTTTTTTGGATAAACTCAAAGGCCTTTTGCGGAAGCGAAACTTCCCTTCATCTCCAAAGTTTCTCTAGCCTGTTCCCTACAATGCTTTCTTTTTCAAGACCGACGAGCTCGCTGCTTTTATTTTCATACTTTCACTTGCAAACTGAATGAAGGGTTGTTTTCCTCCACGAAAGGTGCGACCATGTGGATAAGAAGTGGATTGATCGGGGGTTCATTGAGCTCCGAAGGGAACCCCCGATACTTTCCACTTTTACTCGTTCTATTCATACATTATACTGACGAAGCGTATACGCAAGGCGGATTGTGTTTATGAAGTCTAATGGTTCTTCAATATGTTTCAAAGTTCGCGGCACCAACTAATAACATGCTTCTCAAGTGAGTGGTTTTCAATAGCGTATTGTTATTGTTGGCACTATTGTTATTCATACCTGAGCTTAAAACAATAGCTCGCTGGCCTTAAGTACGCTAAGTTTCTAACACACTTTTTCAAACTCCCAAAGATAGTGGTTCTTGTTCATAAATTTTAAAACGTTTAAACGTATTCTGCTTAAGGAAAGACCAGTCTTACATTTTCTGTCGGTGGATTTGAGGATTTTGTTATACTGTTTCCAAAAACCATGCATAAATTCAGCTTCCATATACAAAAAATTCCCCCTCAGTTTAGCAATTTTCAAGTGCAGAGAAACAATCCTTCTGCTACGTAAAATGCAAATCTTTTGTGCTTAAATCGTAGATAAATCATTCATTTTCGTTTCTGATATATCGTGGCCCTATCGGACGACTGAGCTTTTTGTGATCAATTAAGGTGGCTCGTGTAGGTACACCTTCCATCGTTGAATCTCTTTGACTTAAACAAATATATCTTTATTGTAAAGCCGTTATAACACATGTATNATTCATTTTCGTTTCTGATATATCGTGGCCCTATCGGACGACTGAGCTTTTTGTGATCAATTAAGGTGGCTCGTGTAGGTACACCTTCCATCGTTGAATCTCTTTGACTTAAACAAATATATCTTTATTGTAAAGCCGTTATAACACATGTATTACACATAGACTAAACTTTATTATGACTTTATTATTATTTGTCCGTACAGAGGTCCGACGACTATGCCATGCTGATGATTAAATATTGATAAGCCCCAATTTGAGGGCGAAACAGCTGTCCATGGCTGCCACTGCCCCGGTGTACGCATGCGTGAGGTACTGGCCAGGCCGTGGGTTTAAGCCGTGGGTTAGTGTATTTGTGCCCCTTGCTTTATTCTGAAGTCCCTGGCTTGATCGTGCAAAAAAATCGATTTTTGAGGTCAGATTCCCTCCGCGCGCGGCGACCCTGTGGTAACAGCCTCGTACTCGTGCAATCAAGGGAGTCTGGTTACTAGAATTTTGAGCGCCACTGTTTGATGGATTACTGCCGATTTCTTGTGAGTTTTCTTTTGAATATTTCAGGCGCAGATGCTAAAAATTTGCCTTAAATTTTCACAGTAATGGCTGGAGAGCACGATATTTCAAATGAACTTCGACGATGGGCCTTGGACGAAATGCGTTTTAGGCCTCAAGGACGACACATCAATGCCAGTCTTCCATCGACGGAGGACTTCAAGATGTAAGTACGAAGTTTACCCTGGTCCCAGAGATTTTTCTTGATTTTTCTTCGCGAAAGAGATACGAAGTTAAGCTAACAGAAAAAAAAAAAAGATTAGGAGAAAAGAATTGACCACTCCAGAAATACCATAACATACCATATTGCCCTTTGTTTGTCACTCCAAAATTTTGCGTAAGCATTGTCTTCAGTTTCTCTTGGGAGTTAAAATGGCCCCAAGAGAAACTAAAAACAATGCTTATGCAAAATTTGGGGTGACAAACAAAGAGCATTATGGTATGTTATGGTATTTTCTGGAGTGGTCAATGGGTACTTTTTTACTTCAAAAGTGACGGGGATGGCGTAGAAATGAGCCCACGATGTACGTAAGACCGCCGAATGAATTAAAGATTACGTTCAGCCACAGGCTTCCCAAGCAACGACCTACATTTGTACTTCAGTGTGCGTTGACATTTATTACATGTATTATAGTCAACTCTAGTGTTCGCCACAGACGAAACTAAACCTCTGGTTAAGTCTGTCTGCAAGCCAGTGGCGAAATCCTTGTTCTAGGCCCCCAGCTGCATACCAGGGTTTGAGTAATGTTGTGTCACCTGGCGACGTGATTAGCCTGTTAAAAAACCACTGTTGATTTGTCAATTTGGTTGAAGGGAAATGTTAAACACACTTCCTGTAATTCGTTGAGACTAGAGAGGGCCTAGATCAAGGATCACGGCACTGCTTCCCAGACATTACCAGCCAGGGTCACAGGGCTGTCAACCCCCCACATCTTTAAATATTGAGAATCGAAAGGGGAAGGATGATAGATGACGTTGTAATGTACAGCACATGACATCATTAGTGCAAAAAATACTAGTTGACTCCGATCATCACGAATTTGTAATGACACAAAATGTGCAAAAAAGATGTTTGCTGGCATTGTAATATTTGACCTGATTGGTTTACTTCCCACCAATCACATCATCGCTTATATTACAATGGCATACCAGAGTTTATGAGGAAACGTTTTATGTTAACAGTTAAATAGCTCAAACAAGGCAAAATATTCGAAATTTTATTGTCGGAACATTGAGTCTACAAGAAATGGCAAACTTCGGCGATTATCCTTGAGATTTCAGACTCTAATCTGGAGTCCGGGAGGTGCGGTCTAAAACCTGGAGTCTCCTGGATTATCCTGGAGAGTTGAAAGCCCTGGGGCAGTTCAGTGTGATGCACTGGTTGAGTCGACTCGCCCCTTGTGGATCCCGCCTTATTATAGACATGTGTACCACTGATCACAAACTCTGGCTTTCAAAGAGATTGTAGATGGCAGAAAGAATTTACCACCAGATTTAAAAGTGAATGTAGAAAAAAAAAA